ATCATTGTTTCGAGTAAAGATTAGATAGTGTGTATACGCTATTAATCAATATCTGTCTGTACAGCAGACAGGACTTGAAAAATACACTTTCTATTTTAAGTACTAAGGTTCATTTTAGGAATTAGAGATGATAAAATTGAGAAATTATTAAACTTTGTTATTTCTTTTGTTGCAAAATTAACTCATTATCTTCTTAAATGTAAAATTTCTCTTATTTGTTTCTGGGCTCCTAGTACCTAGTACGTACTAGTTTCTTTATTTATTGCAAGTCGTATCGATAAATTTTGCATTGTGTTTTGTATACAAGACAAACAAATTTACTAAGGTTGCATAATTATGTTGAAATCGATAATTGTAATCACCGACTAGAATCCATCAATAAATAAATTATTAAGGCATCGTAATTACAGAGTATCGTCAATTTTAATATTTTGATCTCGTCCGATCTATTTGTGTATCATTACGAGAACAAGTATTTCTTATTTTTAATTGAAAAGCCGGGGCTGTAGATAATTTGAATCGGTTCATTAGTGGACTGTGTCGGTAACAAGTAGGTTTATATATATCTACAAGTTAGCCGCAGAAAATATCGATTGACCGCCGACGATTTTCATAAACACGAATTGATTGATAACAGAGCAAAATTTTCTTATTTTCTAAATATTTCTAGAAGTTCTTTAATAACTTAATGTCTATGTATATTGTTATTATTTTTCCAAACAGAAATTTTATGAAATTTGTCTTTAATTTGCAACAGAAACATTTCAGAAAATCTTCACTTGTTGTCTAAAAAAATACGGCTAGATTTTACCAAATAACAAACTATTTGATCTTCTACAAGAGCTACTTAATTACAACGAATGATAGGAATTTATCAGGGCTTCAGCAGCTGAAAGAGACTGGGGTACGATGAAAAACTATCGGAATCTGAAGAGGCGAGCGAAACAATATTTTGTTTGATTTCGTATCTGACTCGCACTGTATCGGTTGTAGCGAGGTCCAAGTACTAAGCTTAAGCGAGTTTGTAAGTTATTTAGTATTACGTGAACTAATGAAAATCGAAATTAAATGTTTGATATCTCGTTGAATCATTCGCAGTCATCATTTGAGATGGAAAATTGCAAATTGTCAATTATGTGAAAATAACTATAGTAGCATCAACGGTTTGTAAAGTACGGAACTTAAAAGAATATAACAACATCTGCATATTATAAATGCATATTCTATGAAACACACTTCATTTTATGTATTAGTTTAGTTTCATCATATATTTTCTGTAAAGTCTTCATAGTTCTATGAAGTCCTGGTATTTCTCCTAACTTGTACCTCAATGTAGGCACCTAGCAGTCAGATCACGCTCGCACCCTGTGGAGAGTTAACGTGCGTCGAACTCCCCGGCCCAATACTGATTTCTGTTACCCTAGTTGTTGAATTATACAATTTATGGCTAGCTTGCAAGTTTACCGAACCGAAAGATTGATCGTTGCATTGTCTATTGGTTATGTTACCTTTTACCTTAATTATACACATGGTAATATAATATTATATCGGCATTAGACAAAACAAATTCACACATCTGTGACGTAATGATCAAAACGGGGAGAGCATTAATAACTTGTTCTCCTTCTATTCTTGATGCTGCTAGTGTTGCGTGAAGGTCGCCGGTAGATTCCGTCTTGTCGGATAAAAACAAATGACACATCAGTGACGCCAGACCCAGAACGACAAAGACAGCAACATACCATGTGCTATTTTTACTTAAATGAAATGACAATGAAAAAAAAAACAATTGACATACCAGTGACCGTGATGAAGATAATTTTAATGCAGGTTTCATTTTTCTACACTATTTTTATTTAACTAAGTTCTTGTTTCGTTTCGTTTCGTTACTCGCGATAGTCGCCGCGTCGCGGGTCGCGAAATGCTGCTTATGAATATGAGCCTCTAGCATGGCTTGAAACTAGTCGAGTTCCTCGTCAAATTTTTCGACATCGTCTTCGACATCATCGACGTCGAAAATTTATGAAACAACACGTAAAAATAAACATGAAAAAGTTTCACGAAAGTTACAACCTATATTACAAAAAAGTATTGATCCTGTCTCCTTGTGTCAGGTTCTCAAAACATCAAGAACACAAAAATATTTGGTCATCCGACTGAACTGTTTATTCAATATCTCACATATCACGTATCGCTAAAATGCGATAGGAAGGGAAAATATATATTGGGAAAAATTATTTTGTGGAGCAGATAAATATGTCTCATCTTCCCTTAGCTCGGCCGCGAACATCTATCAAAAATCTAACAGTCATTCCTGGAGGAAATCTGAGACGGACGTATGAAGAATACGATATGGTAAGTTATTGGGGGTCGCTGAAAGGTCGTTTAAAGATCCCAAATTAATTAATTATAAGCTGTTCAGAGATCTGTGAAGTGCTAGTTTTTCAAAATATTTTACCTGAGAAAGTTTCTTATAATATTTAACAGATTTTTTAAAAATCTTTATATATATAATTCTTCTGGGAGTGTGTATGTGACTGAACTTCTCTCAAACGGCTGGACCGATTTTGATGAAATTTTTGTGTGTGTTCAAGGGGATCTGGGAATGGTTTAAATTCACAAATCAGCCCGCCAGATGGCGCTGCAGTCGGTGTCTAGGTTGGTTATCCTAAACGGCTGAACTAATTTGAATGAATTTTTGTTCATACATTCAAGTGGATATGCAGGACAACGTCTGTTGGGTCCGCTAGTAAATAAATAAAGTTCGAATTAGTCGTTTCATCAAAAATTAGACCCATATTCAAAAGTTGTGACAATTCTGTCCCCACTTGATTTTTCTTACATTGTCATTGAATCCCAAATTTTTTCAACATTTCAAATATTTATGGTAACATTAAAAAGTACCGTATCTACAGATGAAGTGTTTCGCACTTCGTAACAAATAAACCGGCTGAACGGATTATCGGTTGGATGCGCTCGCGTCATTGCGGCTAACGACTATATGTCGTCTATCTTGCTGCCTTCTACGAGTATACGACACTCTAACTCGCCAGGGTTTGTACACCGAATAGTTTATAGTTTTTTGAATGAACTATGTACCTATAGCGCAATGATTATGTTCATGTTGTAGTAGTTTTGTAAAATGAAAATATCCTTTTTACACTAAAATCGATAGCAACAACGTTCTTTAATCCCTTCGGCGTCACATCTGCAACACTAGACACTAGTTCAGATTAAAATTCTTTGTTTAGTGTTTTATCAATAAAAATTTGGTAGGTCAAACAGTTTTAGAATCAAACGCAGCTTAATATTTTCTAGACTACTCGCTGAGCCAATCTCCACTTGTAAATATAAACAAAAACATTATGATCAATTTACCAATGAAGCGACTCACTGGCTATCAATTACTGCTAAAAATAGAAGCAACACACTGGGCCTGCGTGATATTCAGGTCCCTACACAAACGTGCATTTGATAATAAATATTATTAAATGTATTTCTAGTTCAAAGAGAGGTCGGCAATAAATGATGCTGGTAATGACCAGCATCATTTATTGCCGACCTCTGTCAAATTCTGTCAACCTACACTAGGTTATAGTTCTTACATGTTCATTTCTATCTTTTTTTATGCGATAAGCCGGTAAACGAGTAGACAGATCACCTGAGGCCTTAGTATGAGTTTCATTTACGTTTAAAGTATTCGAAACGAGTACGCGTTCGGCACTCATTGGCCGGCGCCAATAAAGCAACCAATCAGAGCGCCGAACGCATACTTGTTACGATTACTTTATACGTAAGGCAAACTTGTACTAAGGCCTCTGATGGTAAGCCATCGGCGTCGCCCATGGACACCCGGAACACCAGAGGCGTTACAATTGCGTTAACGGCCTATTTTGAGGATTAGGAATTTGAGAATTGTTTGGTTTTCAGGGATTGAGGAGGGGTGGGGTAATTCCTTCGCTAACCTCACTCACACGACGAAATATAACACGAGGCTTGTGTTTCACGTCGGTTTTTTCGTGAGGCCGTGGTATCATTCTGATCGAGCCGGCTTATTCGTGCCGAAGCATGGCTCTTCCGTATTCTTCCACCCTTGAAGTAATGAAGGCGTGTTGTTAATAAAAAATCAACTTTGTACTTCTCGATTCGAACATAGCATAGTCATTGTTGATTACCTAGTAATCGAGTGGTATACCAAGAAGATAATAAATATTATATGAGAATATGATTACTTCTTCAAGTGCAATAGTCACTGAAGATAGGCTACCGATATTTGCTATATTAAATTACCAGCTTCATCTTTTACTTTATTAGGTTGGAAATTATATGTATAGCTCTAGCATTGTATTGTGTCTCGATATCAACCCACAGATTGTTCAGAACACAACGCAAAATATTTCTGATTGCAACCACGAGCAATGTTCCTTTTATCATTTTATAGTAGAACAATAAACAATGATAATAACAACAAAAACACAGTGGTTTGCGTGGGGATTTTTTTGTAGACTGGCCTTCTTAATGGTGGAACCATTAAAATAATCTTACAAAATTGCTGTAGTTACAATTATTAAAAGTATAGTTTGAGTCTGTAAGGAGAAGTTTAGAATATTTGAAGGAAACAAATTTCATAAATATTTTGTTCAACCCCAAATGTAGTCAACAGTTGGTCAGACAATATGTAAAGAAGTAATTAAAAATATTACGAACTCAATAATGTGTTTGACACTTAGATATTATTGATTACGTACACATTAATTCCAAACATTGTATTAATTTAGTTGATGTCAACCATCAAGATCGGTTACACAGGCAAACGACAATCATTTCTGCTATCCACGTACCAGGCTCCCATAAACTACAAAGATAGTTTATTGTCGTGTCATATACAATCGCACATACATCGGTGTGTGACATGCTGTATCCCTTTTTTCTCGGTGTCTTATATGCCTGTGCGCAGTCGTGATAACACAGTCCCCTAGTTGCCCGCGGAACACATCAACATGATATTGGAAATATTAATATTTGTGATAACAGTGATTATTACATACTATTTCTATAGTAGTTGGAAAATAAAAAACTACTTCAAACAACGAGATGTGAAGTACATGCCCGGTGTGCCGTTTTTTGGCAATATATTTCATTCTACTTTTCTAATCAAGCATTTTCTGGACGACCTTCAAAGTGTTTACGATGCTTTCCCTGATGAAAAGTAAGTCGTATTTGTTTTTATTAACAAAACTAAAAGTGAGAGTACTTGTTTGTATAATATTGTGCCTTTTAATAAGTATAATAAAAATATACCGGTACTTTCGCTCCCTTCTAGTTTTTTCCCTTCTTCTTTTCTTTAACTCATTGAGATAATAGGACATCATAAAATCAAGGCTACTGTCTCATTTTTTCAGATACGTTGGCTTCCTGGAGAACTTGGCACCGGTACTGATGATAAAGGACCCGGAACTGATCAAGTCTATCACTATTAAGGACTTTGACCATTTCACTGATCATAAGGAGTTCTTCACGACAGATTCCGAACCCTTGTTCGCGGGCAGCCTGCTGATGATGAAAGGTAAATTTTTTAAGATGGTTCATTCAATCATTTTATTAATGCTGTTCATAACTGACCTAGCGAATTTACTTCAAAAATTCAGTTTATCATAAATAAATTGTACCTGTTTGGAATAGTATATTAAGATGGGATTTTCATGTTAATGTTATGTATGTATTATTCCTTAATTTCATCTTCTATACGCTCTTCCTTTTCGGAGTCGCGGAGAACCTAACGGGTTACCGGGGCTCCGGCTCGAAGCGCAGGAGAAGGAATGGGGTGGTTTTTAGTCAGTAAGAGTCTGCAGTAGTAATTCGATGATTTTCCCCGCTTAAAAAAAATAGGTTCTTTCTTTTAGCGGTCCATATTAGAACCCGAAGCTGAAGCTGAAGGGTTATTCCCAATATGTATATTGGAAATAGTCACAAAATGAGATATCGGTTATTGATGAATTTGACTGATTAGTTACTCATTAATCAAGTAAACATAACGTTTGTTGACTCCATTTGTGTGACCTCAAAGCGCCTCGTGTTTATAGAGTCAGTGTATGTATACATTTTGTTATGTACATAACATAACATCACGCCTTTTATCCCCGAAGGGGTAGGCAGAGGTGCACATTATGCCACTGTACAACGTAACACCCACTTTTCACTATTTATGTTATGAGTCCCGTGTAATAGGTTGTAAACCTATTGTCATATACCGAACACAATTCCAGACTCCGTGCTACTACTGAGATTTTTTTTGTAGTAATACTTTGCCCGACCCGGGAATCGAACCCGAGACCCCTTTACTGGCAGTCGCAATTGCGACCACTCGGCCAACGAGGCAGTATTATGTACATTCATAGACATATATGCCACATAGACCAATTGTACTGAGCATGCACAATCTGAATGATAGTAGTTATTGTAACTCCCCTCAAATTGGCCAATATATGGACTCTAACTGCATCAATTTCAAAAGGTCTTAAGTGGCGGAGTTAGATGATAGTAATTGAAGGTTGAAGGGGAGTGCTATTACGAATATCTAGACTAGTTTCATTTAGTTCTTGACTGAGTTCGTGTACATACTGTTATGAACAAGGCCTTATTGTAAATTCTAATCTAATCAATCCTTACATTGTTGTTAACAAAGAACCATACTTATAAATTATTTTCTAATCAATCCTTACATTGTTGTTAACAATGAATTACTATACTTTTAATTGCAATATAAACAATCTTCACATTATTGGTAACAAAGATCTATACTTTTAAATTACCACCTAAACAATCGTTATATTGTTACTAACAAAGATCTAAGCACTCTTACATTGTTATGAACAAAGCCCTATTCATGTAAATTGCAATTAAAGCAATCGATACATCCTGTGGCACTTATACGCGCAAGTATAATTTATCGACTAAGGGATAACCCCCCACCATTGGCCATATAGAATAAAATATACGTCTTAGTTGTGTATAGAGTCACTCCAGATAAAATTATTCAACTATTAACACCGTTTTATATCGCACAGTAATTATTGTAAGTCGATAGTTGTGAAGTGTAAAATAAAGAAATTATTAGCAGCATTTGTGGTGTCATTTCTTAAAGGGACTCCCGGAGCGCCATCCTAACAATACGAACTCTTGTTTAACTTCAATACGTTTCTAAATTTGTAGCAAAGAAACAAAAATTCAACGCCATAAAACATAATATCACGCGTTTTATCCCCAAAAGGGTAGGCAGAGGTGTGTATTACGGCACTTAATGGCACTGTCTAATGTAACACTCACTTTTCACTATTTATGTTATTAATGCCATGTGGGGAGTGAGCCTATTGCCATATACCGGGCGGCGGGCACATTTGCACACTCCATGCTACTACTACTGAGTTTTTTTTTAAAAACACATAAATATATTGACCGACTTAAGACGCTTACGACCACTCGGTCAGGAACAAATTTATAAAACTATAAAGTCACTCGATATATTGTTTGATCTGCTTGTACTTGAATTTATTAGTCGATATTTAATTACATACATTTATTTACATATTTATCTAATTATTGAAATTATTTCCGACTAGAAGAGTTCACTATGTACTAAAGACACATACCTAGTAGAACCACACTTCAAACGTTTCTTCAATTAAAAAAGTAACATTATCGGTTCTAATAGGAAGAAAATTAAACATATTAATACACAAACGTAAAAACTTTGTTTGAATAAATTATTTTATTTATAAATCCAGTACAAACAACCGCTCAATTATGTTTGCCATTACAAAATAGTAGGAGAAACATCTAACGACTGATGTCCGGATGAATTATTCAGCAAATATTTTGATTCTGTATTTTTCTTGTAGATCATTTATTCGGTACACGTGTAAACAAGTATTTTCTTCAGCAGTCCTTACAATTAGGCAAAGCCCTGGTCTTAATTAGACATTTTTAGAAACATATTTATTTTATCACGTTTCTCGTTTTAACGATGTAATCCGTGGTTTTTGCTTGTGAATAAAATTACTGTCGCAATTTGCGTCAACGTTTATATATACTGTTGAATTATTATGTAGTCCTAGTACTACGGAAAATTGAAGGCCTATTCAAAAATACTTACTTATACGTTTTTTGTGTGTATAATTTAAATTATTTATTTAATAATAATAATTGCGTAAGTAAAATGCTACTAAGTAGCAGTTAGCGGTATATATAACATTACCTCTATTTATATAATCAATTCATTCATTGTGGGTAGGTACGTAGGTTTCTTACACGAACATAAATTCTACATTTTGCTGCTCTGTGAGAAATATGGAAAATCTTATACACTTTAACAATACAGCAATTATTTTAGCTAATTATTTTTCATTTATGCGCTGACTACCGCTTACTCAGTAATAGAGGAATTTTTATTTACATTTCATTGATTTGCACACGTTTTGTATGGAGCCTTAAATCCAAATTATATCTCAGTAAGCAAATCTTCAGATATATAGGTTATAGAAAATGGCCGTTACCGATCATGTTCATTATAATGGTGTCGATGTTAGCTTGGGTCAATATGTTGGTGCCCTAAATTGTATGACGCAACTACCATCAATATAGCGCAGATGACCTTTAATAATATTAATAGCATAAATGATTATATCGGTGACGAACTAAACAGTAGCTCCTACGATTTATAAAGTCCTGGTTAAAGAAATATTTTGACAATGTTTTGTCGATTACTTATTTTAATTGGTGATAATAACAACTAGATATAATGTTGTAGTTGAAAATGAAATATTTCAAATATTCTTTTTTTAATTTTTCAGGTGATAAATGGCGCCAAATGAGAACGACTTTAAGTCCAGCGTTCACCGGGTCTAAAATGAAGATGATGCTGCCTTTAATCGTGGATAGCGCTGACAATATTATCGAGTATTTGAATGGTCTGTTTTAAACAGTTTTATAATAGTATTAGTTAAGGAAAATTAATTCATTAAACTGACTACAATAGACACCATTTTATTTTATTTTTAGATCATCAATTTGAAGATATTAACGTAGACGACCTGATGCGCCGGTACACGAGTGACGTCATAGCGACTGCTGCCTTTGGTCTGAAGGTCAACTCTTTGAAAGACAGAGATAATGAGTTCTACAGAGTTGGTAGCTCTCTGTTTGAATTCACCCTTACTCAGAGACTACTGATGTTCAGTACTCTATTCCCTTCAGTCTCAAAGGTAAACAAAAATATTAATTATCGCTTTTTGACGAGGAACTCGACTAGTTTCAAGTCATGTTTAAAGGTTCATATTCCATAGCAGCGCAACAGTCGCCGCGTCGCGTGTCGCAGAATGCTGCTCTTGAGTATGAGGCTCGAAACTAGTCGAGTTACGGAGGCCGAAGTGAATTACTACACTGATGAAACAAATATAAAAAATTTATAGAAATACATTATTGCTACCACTGCTTAAAAATCACACATTTGACGAAGACTGGGCAACAGGGTTCTCTCATTAACCTGAACCTTCTAACCAGGCCATCAGCCAGCTGTGGATTTTTAAACTGTTGATAATGTAGAAAAATGATTCAAATTATATTCTGATTCCAGAAACTTGGAACTCGTCTATTTCCCGAGACGACGTATAATTTCTTCAGGTCAATCGTTTCATCTACATTGGAATATAGAAAGAGAGAAAAAGTAGAGAGACCTGATATGATCCAACTACTCATGGAAACACCAAAAGGTAGAAAAAACCCTTAATTAAAAAAGTTGCGATAGAACGTTATTATAGAATCCAAACATCAATAGATTTATTACTATGTTAAAAAATAGTGCTACTTCTTCGTCGGCCGAGTCGTCACAAGGGGGTTCGATTCCCGGGTCGGGCAAAGTATTACTGGGTTTTTTAAATGCTCACTAGTAGCAGGGAGTCTAGAATTTTGCCCGGTATATGGCTATAGGCTCACCGCCTATTACATGGGACTGTTAACATAAATAGTGAAAAGTGGGTGTTACATTGGACAGTGGTATTAAGTGCCGTAATATGCACCTCTGCCTTCCCTTCCGGGGACAAAAGGCGTGATATTATGTTACTTTAAAATAGTACAATTTAGAATCAAATAAAGAAAGATTACTTTTTACTCTTACCAGATTCTTCACCAATTTTCTATTTGCTGATTTCAGAATGGACCCCGGATGAACTGACAGGCCAAGTATTCATATTCTTTGCTGCTGGCTTCGAAACATCTGCCAGTGGACTTGTCATGGCTATCCATGAGCTAGCATTACACCCTGACGTCCAAGAGCGATTGTACCAGGAGAGCAGCCAGTTTAAGAACGATAAGGAACTTACATTTGACAAACTCAGCCAACTGAAGTACTTGGAATGTGTGATTAATGGTAAAATAATAATAATTGTGTACAATACACTTTGAATCTAATTTTGAAACCTAATCTAAATTGGTTTGTCGCGGAGAACCTAACGGGTTATCGGGGCTCCGGCTTGACGAGCAGGAGAAGGAACGGGGTGGTTTTTAGTCAGTAAGAGTCTGACACTCCCTCCCGCCTCACCCAGGCGGGAGCAGTCATTAGATAATATTCCCTCCTTAAAAAAAATCTAAATTGGTCTTGCTTTAAAAATCTATTTCTAATAAAAAGGGGTTTGTAGTCGTTGTCCGAAACACCCACTGTTTATCGTTTCCTTTCTTTCAGTATTTTATTAAATTTCATTTCAACCTACGGTGTCAGGCTTTTATATTGTACTGAAATTTTATATTGTTGTAAAATTAAGCGGATTTTGTAGCCAACATTATGTGTTTAGATAAAATAGGTGTAATATTATGTTAATACTGATACTTCCTAGCAGCTTTACTTCCTGTACAGCATTCTTAAATATTTGGTATTTCACGGACCAAACCTTCACGTTTCGGCTCTTCTTTAAGTAACATAGTTATCTAATACATTTTGCAACTTATAGAAACTCTGAGGATATGGTCCCCAGCTATCTTTATGGACAGAACCTGTGTGAAGACTTATGAACTGCCTCCACCCAGAGAGGGTGGAAAACCATGCATTGTAAGTAGAAAACGTCATCGCCTAAGCAAGTACTGTTTACTCTTTTTGTTTTAGATTTAAATAATACTAGCGGACCCGACAGACGTTGTCCTGCATATCCACTTGAATGTATAAACAAAAATTCATTCAAATTAGTTCAGCTGTTTAGGATAAATAACCTAAACATCGACTGCAGCGCCATCTGCCGGGCAGATTTGTGAATCTAAACCATTCCCAGATCCCCTTGAACACACACAAAAAAAAATCATCAAATCGGTCCAGTCGTTTGAGAGAAGTTCAGTGACATACACACTCACAGAAGAATTATAATATAAAGATTATCTTGATAATTATACTTTTTCAATGCCTCCTTTTTAATGCTATAGGTTAAACCAGGTGACGTTGTTTACAACATGGTGAACTGTCTACATATGGATCCGAAGTACTTCCCTGAGCCAACAGTCTTCAATCCTGACAGGTTCTCAGAAGAGAACAAGCATAACATCCAGCCTTGTACCTTCGCACCATTTGGGGGAGGTCCAAGGATTTGTATTGGTGAGTTGTATGATTTATTTAACATAACATCATGCCTTTTATCTCTGAAGGGGTAGGCTGAGGTGCACATTGCGGCACTTAATGCCACTGAACAATGTAACACCCAGTTTTCACTATTTATGTTATAAGTCCCATGTAATAGGGGCCATATAGGTACCGGGCACAATTCTAGACTCCGTGCTACTACTGAGATTTAAAAAAAAAACCCAGTTATACTTTGCCCGAACCGGAGACCCCTTGCCCTCGGTCAACGAGGCAGCAATATGGTTAAGCATTATATTTAGATAATTGTATAAAACAGACAACAAAGATGTTGTGCCTGTTTTATTTAGTCACAACTTGATTTTGCTCGGTACGTAAAAACAAAACAATTAGTTAGCAAAACAATGACGTAAGTAATATTAAAATGATTATGGTCGAAACCGCGATTTGTGGTACATAAATTCTGTTAATAAATACGCAATTTACAAAGAGTATAATAAATAACTTTTTGTGGGAAATGGTTCAAATAGGTGTATTCATACAATGTATATTAAAACACTAGCTTCCGCGCGGATTCGCTCGCTCTGCTTGACTCTTATGATCGTATCGTGATGTTTTATAGCGTATACTATAAAGCAACATAACATAACATCACGCCTTTTACCCCCGAAGGGGTAGGCAGAGATGCACATTACGGCACTTAATGTCACTATACAATGTAACAACCACTTTTCGCTATTTATGTTATGTGTCCCATGTAATAGGGGGTGAGCCTTTTGATGGCAATACCGCAATTACAGACTCCGTGCTACTACTTCGAATTCGCGAATTCTTAAAAAAACCCAGTAGTACTTTGCCCGACCCGGGAATCGAACCCGAGACCTCTTGCCAGGCCGTCGCACTTTCGACCACTCGGTCAATGAGGCAGTCTACTATAAAACATTCCTCGATAAATGGACTATCCAACAGAAAAATAATTATTCAAATCGGCCCAGCAGTTCCTGAGATTAGCGCGTTCTAACAAACGAACAAACTCTTCAGCTTTATAGCTTCAGCTTAATAGTATAAGAATACAGTATAAATAAATAAAAAAGTATACAAAAATGCTACTGGTTATGCCATGTTGTTCCTCTCTTCTCGGTACCAGGCGTGCATAACTAACCAGGAGATATTTTTTCCGCAGGATTAAGGTTTGCTATGATGGAGATCAAGGTTCTACTGCATCATATTATAATGAACTTCAAGATTGTGAAAACGAAGAAAACTTCGGATCCCATCAAGTTGAAGCCTCATATGTTTAATATTAGGGCTATGAATGGTACTTGGGTTAGTTTCGAGAAAAGGCAGTAATTTGTACATAACCAACCATGTTTGGTGAGGATCTTTAATTATAAGAACAAAATGTTATTCCTAAAACTATTTTTGTTAAATAAAATAAATAAATAAATAATGTATGAGAATAATTTTGGCAAAACGATGAATTGTAACGTAATTTTTTTTTGTAACGTAAAATTTTTTTTTAAGTATTTGCCATGATAAATTGCTTCTATTTTATATTTTTCAAAAAGTTTTTAATCTAATGTAAATGAAAAAACGTAAACAAAAAGAGAACGGAGTGTTTCTTGATCTCGTGCCGTTTGAAGTAGAAATGTATGAGCTCCATAGAAGAGGACCTAAGAGGATGCAGATTAAGTAGAAATGTAAATACTATAAAATCTTTTTCAAAATTAAATACGAATGCAAATATAATAGGTTAAAATAATAAGATCGTAGACTAAAATAATATATAAAAAACGAGCTTCACCCCCATCTTGAAGTCGGTTAATTAATATAGTAAAACCATCCTCCTAAGTGTAATAAACACTTTTCTGAACACCGCATTCAAAACAGTTCAGCTAATCGCGAGATAATCGCGCACAAACATACATACATACAGGTCGAAATGAGAACCTCCTTCTTTTTTTGAAGTCGGTTAACCTATTTATCCCCAAGCGGTCACGGTCACCGGTGACCGCTCTCCCCTAACTACATTTTAGACCTTATTTCCGATGTTTAGAGACTACTTTTGTACGAACAAATTTAGAGGATAATATTTCAACAGGTTAAAAATAAATTGTATGAATAACAAATAAGTAAGCTGAGAGTGTTTATTTATATATGTGTTTATTTTTAAATTATACTAAAATAAATGTAGTTGTAATGTAAACTAATGCAGTTTTATTTTATTCATTTTTTTGCTTTATTGCTAACAAAACAAAAACTTCACAATGCATGCATTTACATATTTCTAACAATAAAAATTATAAAACTAACTTTTGCTAGCGACTTCAGATGCACAAATAGATGATTCCCGTTTCAACCGTTTCCGTGGGAATTTAGAGAAGTTCTTTCTAAATCCCCTAAACTGAACAAGGAACATAGATGCTAGGTTTTACTATCCAAGATTCAGTAGTTTAGACTGTGCTTTGTCTATCAAACTGTCACTCATTAACGAAAGAGTTAATCTTATCTTCCAAGGTTAAAGGAATATGTACAGTACAGATAGTAATGTATAGTAAGTTTAAGTTTGTATAGTAAGTTTAAGTTACACAGTTTTAAATATGGGAAAGCCATGGTCCGGCACGAAAGGGCCATCTCAAGCGATACTACGGCTTAATAAAAACCGACGTGAAACAACGCTTGCGTTCTATTTTGTCGATTGAGTGAGGTTACCGGAGGATCAATTACCCCTACCTCCACGTAAGTACATCCAATTTTCATCAATTTTTATTATTTTACTAGCTGTGCCCGCGACTTCGTTCGCGTGGAATAGTGACTATGAGCAGCGTTTTTTTAAATATATACTTATTTTTATTTTGGATCATAATCAGAGTCATTTTGTATGTATAAGCATAGAATAGTGTTCGACGTGATTCTTTAATTTGACATAACTTTTTTATTTATGAACCGATTGACATGAAACAAACACTAAAGCATAACTGAAGCATACCACAATATATTCGTGAAAACCGCATCCAACTCGGATCAGCCGTTTCTGAGATTAGCGTGAACAGACAAACAGACAAACAGACAAAAAAAAGTTAATAACATTTTTGGGTTCGACATCGACATAACAATAACCCCTGCTATTTTTTTTATTTTTATTTTCAATGTACAGGCAGCACTTTTCTACAATTTTATTATATGTATATTCTGAGATTAGCGTGAACAGACAAACAGACAAAAAAAAGTTAATTACATTTTTGGGTTCGACATCGACATAACAATAACCCCTGATATTATTTTTATTTTTATTTTCAATGTACAACAACTTTACAACGGTCGTCACCTTCATCAAAGGTCACCATCTTTATCTGTTCTTACCATTTGTGTATGAGTGGCTGGAGAGGACCCATGTCCTCTTTACACAAATGGTACCTAATCCACTTTCATTCAGCCATTTAAATGAGGGCCGATTAGGTACTCTGTATCATTTTCTCTCTGACTATGGCAACTTCAAATTTTTAATTTGTTTTATGTGAGGTTCATAAATATTGCGACACTGCTGTATTTTAATGTGAAGGTGTAAAGGAACAATAGGCAGTTGATGTCATTGTTTTATAAATTACTAGCTGTTAACCGCGACTACGTCCACGTATAATAATGACTTCTGGCAAATTTTGGTTTTTTTTAATTAGTCTTCTCTAAGGGTAATTGCATTTTTCTTTAAAATCCCTGATTCTGATCTAATTACTATTATTAGTCCTTGAAAACAGTTTTCTATTGGCAGTCAAAGGCTTAACTCGTCGAGTACCGTATCTATAGACACAATTAAAGAACAATAGGTTGCGGTCACCGGTGACCGCTTGGTGTTTGACAGTTTAAGCAATATAAGGAGTTTTTCGGTAGAATTTTCTCACACAATGGGTTACATCAGCACACGGTTCCCTTTCTTATTAAATATGGCCTATGCTTATCATCGATAATCGAATTTCTCAAATCGGTCCGGTAGTTTCGGAGCCTATTCAATTGAAACAAACAAACAAACAAAAATCAAATCTTTCCTCTTTATACCATTAATGTAAATGTCTACATTAATTGCTCAGGTTTCACATAAATACGGAGACAGCTAAGCAAAAAGTTTCATTATAAAAATGATTACAGAAGTCATAACGTATTTGTTAAGTTTTCTCATATTGTACGTTATATTTGAATTTAAGAAGATACATTATAATTTTAAGAAACATGGAATTAAGTTCAAGGCTGGCTACCCGATATTTGGAAATACCTTTAACAGTACGTTCCTTTTCAAACATCTTATCGAGGATATTGATGCAGTGTATACGGCATTCCCTGAGGAAAGGTAAGTGATATTTATGTTCTCCTAGTACCATACATAAACATTACTTTGGTATTCCCAGACGTAGTGGCCAGAGATGGTGTAAGCAGAGACAGCGTTTCGTCAATAATATTTTTGCCTCATTGCTAAACTCGTTAAAGCTAAGCACCAGATAGTTTCTTTTATGTAACTTGATATTTCTATTATTTCTTCTAAGAACGATATATTTCATCAAATTAAGTAAAGGTAAAACGTAGTTGAAGTTCCTCTGATATCGTGGAAGTCCATGGCACTGATCGTTTCCCATGATCAAAAATCTTCAACTTTATTTTTTTCAGATACGTTGGTTTTATAGAAGGCATGAAGCCTATCATATTAGTTAGGGACCCTGAGCTCATGAAGATCATCACAATTAAGGATTTCCACTACTTTGTGAATCGCAAGGAGATGTTCCCGAAAGAGATCGAGCCTTTACTGGGGTCTAGTCTTTTGAATATGGAAGGTAAGTTTATTTAAGATGGATATAAGAAGTCGTGATCTCTACACAACTTTGTTTTCCTGGTACCTACTTACTCAAATGAATTACTTTTGACCCAGGCGAGGAATGGCGTAAGATGCGTAGTCGTCTTAGTAGTGCATTCAGTGGCTCCAAAATGAAATGTATGCTACCCTTCATGGTGGACGTTACCAAAAATATTTTACGTTATTTAGACGGTGAGTATTTACAATTTGTTTTTTAATCTAAACTGAATTTGAAGTGCGATGTAAATAAAAGTATATTTATTACTTTGGAAATTCATTATAATAATTTTTCAATTATAGAATTTTTATCTATGATAAAAATTGTTATTACATTCAGCGTATTTTTTGTTTAATAAGTAAGTGTGATTCATTAACCCTCTGCGTAGACCATCAACTTGAAGACATAGATGTGCTGGACCTGATGCGGCGCTACAACACAGACGCCGTGGCTTCCACTGGCTTTGGTCTCCACGTCAACTCAATCAGAGATAGAGACAATAAGTTCTTTGCTATTGGTCAAAGAGCGGCGACCTTCACATTTTGGAGACGAATGTACTATTTTATAACGATACAGTTTCCAGCTGTGGCTAAAATTATGCAAGTAACAAAGATTTTTAAAGTTTTTTCATTATTAAGTTTGGGAAGCCTCGAGTTGTTTCCAGTTTGCGTTAGCCGTAATGACCTCTATTAACCCCCATGAACAGTTTTTAGGTATCGAACTTCTTTCATCAGAAGGCACCGAGTTCTTCAGAAATATTGTTGCCGATACAATAGCTTATAGGAAAAAGAATGATGTAGTGAGGCCTGATTTCATTCATCTACTAATGGAGGCCGCACAAGGTACGTATTTGGTTTTAATATGCGTTATACAATTTTCGTTATTTTGCTGATTATACGAGGATTACTTATTTTCTTCTTTTTACAGATTTAACTTTAGATGAAATCACTGGTCAAATATACTTTGCTTTTCTAGCAAGTTATGAGTCTAGTTCAAGTACTCTGATGATGTGCATCCACGAACTAGCTCTCCGCCCAGATATAGCAGAAAAATTGTACCAGGAGATTAGAACAAAGCAGGAGAAATTTGGAGATCTAAATTATGAATGTATTATGGAGTTAAAATATATGGATTGCGTGTTAAATGGTGAGTAAATTGTTTGTATTTGGATAAATGACCCGTTGCACAATGTGTAGGACACTTTTTAAATAATGTATTGGTATTTTAACAGAGGCGACGAGGAAATGGTCTGTAGCTGTAGTTATGGACAGAGTTTGTACTGAGTCCTACGTGTTACCTCCTCCGAGAAAGAATGGTACGCCTTATTTGGTAAGTATTTGTACTACTACATAGCGAAAGGTTTGTGATTATACCTAAATGAAATTACGAGCCAACTGAATAAAATTGCAATTGAAGAGAAACGCCAAGGTGCTGTAGGTATATTGTACTTGAGTTAAAGAATAATGATAATGTGTATGAACATACAAAATTTGTATTTTTTCGGCATATTATACATATAGAAACTTCCTAAGTGAATAACAAGATTTACAATCTGTGTCAGAAAATGGGCGAATGTTAATTATTTTATATGCTACAGTGAGATTTAGTAGTAGCAATCTTGCTGCAAGTTTCAGTGTCTGTGGGAAGTGCACTAAATTTCAGTAGTTTCTGAGATTAGCCAGAACTCATTAGCTCTTAAATTAGCCGGGGACTACACAGTCTCCCAGATTCCTTTTTTAATTAAAAAAAGGATTGCAAACCTTTTCGAATTACGTAAAGAACATTCAAACGTATACCTAGTTGTTAATTATTGTCAATTCAGTGAAAATATTTAAGTACATCAAATTGTAGAACTCAAATTGTATCTCAATTTATTTAAATACCAACAACGATATTTCTTGTTTTTCTGAATTGTTTATTTCTATAGGTTCAGCCAGGGGACGTAGTTTATAATGTGGTGAACTCAATCCACATGGACGAGACGTACCATCCATCACCAGACACCTTCGATCCTGACAGATTTTCTGACGCAAACAAGTATAACATAAACTCCTTCACACACATGCCTTTTGGAATGGGACCTAGAAGTTGTCTAGGTTAGTCGTAACTTACCTACCTACTTTGAATATTAATTAGTAAATTATTAGTCGAATAAGTACCTTCTATAAAAACATATATTAATATAAAAACTTAACAACAGACTGCCTCGTTGGCCGAGTGGTCGCAAGTGCGACTGCCGCGGGCAAGGGGTCTCGGGTCCGATACCCGGGTTGGGCAAAGTATTACTGGGTTCTTTAAATAAAATCTCAGTAGTAGCACGGAGTCTCGAAATGTGCCCGGTATATGGCAATAGGCTCACCCCCTATTACATGGGACTCATAACATAAATAGTGAAAACTGGGTGTTTCTTCTGTGTACACTTCTGCCTACCCCTTCGGGGATAAAAGGCGTGATGTTATGTTATGTGTGTTATGTTATTATAGAAACATAAGAAGTCAAGATTTTCACACAGTTTTTGCTAAAGCTTCATTTTTAAAAGTAATTCAGAACTAAATAGGTAAACAAGACCTTATTTATGTGAAATAATTTGATGATGACCTAATACATATGTAGGTATGTATTAAATAAGTATGTACTTAGTAAAATAAATAGTTATATCTCAAAAGTATGTTGCATTTTTTCCAGGAATGCGATACTCAATGCTGAAAATGAAAGTGTTGCTATGCCATATAATTCTAAACTACAAAATAGTTCGATGTAAAAGAACCTCCGATCCACTTCGTTTGCAACCACTGGACTTCAGCGTCAGGGCTATTGGAGACACTTACGTGCAATTTCAGAGAAGACCATGAAAGAACGATAAAATGAACAATGGTCTTTTTGTTATTAAATGCTATCATAGCCGAAAGACTGTTGTTATCCTTTCCGATAGTTGTAGAACTAACATTAACCCTCTAAATCGGTTGCAGCGCCATCTACTGATTGCGTATCATAGATAACTTAAGATTACAAAAGTATAATTAAAATTATATGCTCATATGAATGCTTCTAGCATGAAAACATAATCATTATTTAAATCAAATAATTTACGAATATTTTTAGTGATGAGGACTATAAAAAGATAGTATTGTTATTTTCTTAAAATATTTTTTGAATGTAAAGGTATTATGTATTTAACGCATGTCGTTAGTGATTTTAGACACTTAGATATAAACCTTGAACTACAGTATAGAAGCAAGTATATAATTAAAACATGTTACATAACGTCAAGCCCTTTATGTATACCATGACTAATCGACCAATGCCAACAGTCCGTCTCCAGAATAGGTAGTTTCCTACGACGTTTTCCCGACACATATTTTTCTTTTCTCACAAAATTAAGTAAATACTTTCGATAATATATTAATTTGAAATATCGTGTGATGTCACAGCATGCCACATTTTGTAGCACGTTATGACGTAACGACCTCCACTCCTAAACTTAGCGCCATTTTATCTAAGTATTGCAACGTAATACGAGAAAATAAAAAAATACATGTCTAAAATTTTTTCACTATCTAAATGATGAACTAATTAGATTTTTAATTTTGATACCCTGGAGACTACCCAATTATTGAACCAGAGACCGCTTGCTGGATAGTTGTGCTAGAGATCACTCGAATAACGAGGCAGTCTCCTGACCTAGCTATGCTTAAGGTAAGTAAACCTCCAAATTAATCACCAAATGCTTCATTTATAGCAAACGAAACATTACAAAGTTATTATGAAAGGCTACATTAAAACTTTTTTAAATCACATCATAAAATAAACATACGCTTCTATCAACATAGTGTAGTATATAACGACATACGGGACAATTTTACTACAACACACGTCGCGTTTTATGTTTTACATGTAATTAGATATTTAAGTGTGAAAATGGTATTGATTGTTATGTTAAATTAACTAAAATCGCGGGTTACTCTCGTGAATAATGACAAAAGCTCTACTAGTTTTGAACTACAGAGGGGTTCTTCCTCATGAGCAGCGTGCGCGGTCGCAGTCAGTGAGCTCCGCGACGTCGTGTATTTTAGTTAATTTAGTATGTCTCATGATAGTTATTATAAAAATATAATTGTTATGTCTTTAAAGGTCTAATGCACAGCCGCAAATTGCCAGTTATATTACTTAGTAAGTCCCGTAAAGAATATGAAAATACCGGTGTTTTATTAAATTAATTAAAACTATTTAAGTTATACAAAACCCTTGTCTTGTCTAATTGTAAACAACTTTTTGTAAATGATGCAAGATGGATATGGAACATCCTATGTTCCGTCGAATATTGAAGAAGAGGACGACACAGCGTGTGCTGTGCCGGTTAGCTATTAGATGCAAGCGGGGAGACGGTGTTCTATGTGAAGGATTAGGGAGGGGGCAATGGACGTCTTCTGACTATATGATCATGATAATTATGAACATTGCCATTTGAAGTCGTCACCTGAACCTACCTTCTCATTCTGGTTAACAAGATGGGCGTCCTCGTTACAAAGCGCCCCCGTATACGATCACAACTAAATAACGTACATTTGGCAGGCTTTCATCGTGTTTTTAGAACAAGCACATTTTAACTTGCCACGCTGCGGCTTAGCGTAGCCATAACTACAGCAGAACCGGGATTTCCCTTTATTAAATTAATAATGTTATATAATACTAAATAGGCTGGCAACACCGTGCAACCGCTTACCTCTGATGTTTTATGATTATTACACAAGATAAGGTTGTATTAAACCAACTGACGTTGTAGGTAACAATCTGATAGTCGCGGTTATTTTTAAACTTTGCAGGTCTTCAATCAATCTTTTGTAGTTTAAGACCTGCAACTGTTGTTTCGTTGAGTAGGTTTTCTATTATGTTAATTATTCTCTTACACACTTCATTGAACATAGAAAACAGGTATTAGGTATACCAATTTGCATGCAAATTGTCTCCACGATAAGGCTCGTTTGATAATTTCATATTTTAATAATTTATTAAGTAAAGAGATCAGAGTTCCCAAAAATGTCATGATTGCGCCATGGCCCACGTGTTGTGAATTTTGTAGATACTGCACAACTTGCACAGACCCATGCTATCCTAGTACGTAGTCACACTAAGTAGTTAGTGTGCAATTTGAGTTATTTTAATGTTAATTCAGTGCCGGCTGAAGCCAGCCCGACCACAGACTATAAATTCACCATGTCACCGCTTTGCTGGCAAAATAAACTGTTATTATTGAACTCCCTTTAATTTATAAAACGGTTAATTAGTTCAGTGATTATTCATTCTTCGGTTGGAGATGCCTTGATCACTTAGTATAACACTCAATTAATAACTTAAATATCATTATGATCGTATTATATTATTACATCAAAATGTTAAGAGAACATAAACTAGGAAAGTATGAACACGTTCAATAATAAAGTTCTGCATCAAACGGAACCGAACGCTGGCAAATAAACAATAAATTGGCCACCAGTCAAAAACTTAATAGCGAAACTGCGATTTAAACTTCCATCTGCAAGGATTATATCCAGGGTATTGGGTTTAAATCGAATTTAGATGCTTCTTAGACGCAGTTTCGAGGAAGATTCGACTTAATAGCTATAACTTGGATATTTTATTGGCGCTTACGTTACTCTAACTTTTATTGATGGTGTCCTAGTACTGTGATTGGGGACAACGCAATGGATTTTATTATACTTGTCTTCGGATCAAAGTAATTATGAGTCTAAATCCTCAACACACGTACTACAAATATACAACATACGGTTTTAGGTTCAGAAGTCACTTTGAGCTCCTACCCGTTTTTTATACCAAAAGATATTATCTCAATAACCGTTATTTGTACAAACACATCATACGTAGGTAATAATAAAAACATACTGTATCACAGAGTCCACTCAACATCAACTTAGTTACACCTCAATTTTTCCAAAATAAATGAATACGTTGACAGGTGAGGTAATGTACAGTGTTTCCATACGTACTAATGCTCGGTTTGGCCTCGCCGGAGTCACAAATAATACGCTAATGTACGACTACGCCACTCATTATACCTAATAAACCCCATTTGTGATAAACATTTTAGGGGCCACAGACGAGCGATGAATTGTTGCTCAGTAGTTGCTTAAAACTTTAGTATGTATAATTTGGCCAATGATTGTTTTGTTCCAATTCAATATTATATTAAGTTCTCTCTATAGGCCAATAAAAAGTATTCTTAGGGAAAACTCCTTTTCAAATACACGTTTCCAAGTCTGGTGTTAAATGTTATGAAAATTTTAAGCATGCACCAACTAAAATTAATTCAAATAATCGATTATTAAACGATTAGAATTACCACATTATTTATCTTCAACTGTAAATTTGTTGCTTTCAAAAAACAATAGGGCAACTATTTAGTCGCCAAGACAGTAAAGCTAATGAGAGTCAAGTTTCGAGTTTAAAACATTACACCCCTCGCTTCGGTCGGTTTAATGGAGCCACCCTGAGCTATGACGACGTAAATAAACGCTAAAAGCCTCCTGTAATTTTTATCTTTAAGTTTCACGTTATTTAGACGAATATAAATTAGAGTAAATTAGCTATGATTACCAGGAATAATTTGGATGAATATACTTACTATGTAGGTACTCTGTATGCTGGGTTCCTGTTAATAATTCTGTGTTGTGGATTTTAACGAAATACTTTTATTATGTTTAACTTTCAATGGAATTAGTAGTTATAGAAATACAGTATTTCATGATGTGTTTCAGACAGTACAAATTCAAGATCCAGTTCTGTTTCTCAAATTGCAGCAGGCGTTCGTATCATCACACAGTCAAATGCATGAAGAATCTTCAACATTTGACTAAAGTTACAAATATATTTAGGAGGATCATAAATTTATCTTGTAGTAGCAGACAACATTCCTTAATCTGTTGAGACAGTTTGTCGTAAATATGCATGAGAATAAAAAAAACTGTGTATGAGGTTGGTACGTCGGTCGGCAAGTGAACTTACGAGCGAGGTCGCGTGCGACGACCCTGCGAGCTCCTTGTTGTGGTTTATTTAGATGCTTCACCCTGGTGGGCCACAAGACGAGAGAAAATGCTACTTATGTATAAAATTCTTTCACTCTCTCATTACTGAGAGCCTGATTGACAAGCAATGGATAGTCGGAACTACACATGCCCTAAGCAGGCTAAATAGACTATAAGAACACATAATGTAACATAGAAATCATCAAATGTAATAACTGTATTTAAATGTGAATAAAATAATTTTTAATTTTTTTAATTTGAATTTTGAATTTACACGAATGGCTGAAATTCGTCATGGTGTCTTGTAAAGGTATGGGTACACGTACGGGTACGGGCTTTTCATGCGAATATGAAGTAGCAGTCAATGCTATAATGATCATTTTGATGATTACCTACTCCTTATCTGTCTGTTTATCTATAGTAACTTAGATTTAAAAGTTGAAATTAATTGTTTAGTATGCATGGTAACGCTGACGTAGATACCACACAGCTTCTAGTTTTGCAATATATTTTATTTTATTACGTTGTTTAATATAAAATTACAGGGCAGCGATACTTGACATCTCAAAGACGTTTTAAATGGACTATTGTTCTTATAATTAAGATCAAAATTATTCAACAATAAGTCAAACAATCCTGAATTATCTAATGATTATAATCATTAGATAATTTATTCATTCACGATTATATTCATTAGATAATTCATTCATTCATGATTATAATCATAAGATAATTCAGGATTGTTTGTTTGTTTCGGTGTGATGAATAACAGGATTTAATAGTTTAGAAATAGGATATGAATAAATATTTGA